ACTTATGACCCCCCGTAAGACAGAAATACAAACACTTACTCTGAATACTTTATTCAGGGTTATACTTTGACCAAACGATCTCCATTCGCATACATTAACCAGGGCCGTCTGTCTTCCACATGCCGCTCTCCCTTTGGTGTTCCCAAATCTTTCTGTAACATGTTCCTTTTTTTTTGGCAAATGAAATGACTAAACACATAAAACTTAAATAAATACATATTTCCAAATTGAGTCGAACAGGAGCTTTAATGATTCTTCCTGATCCAGTTTTTCGTGTCAAAGTTTGAAGGAGATCTGAAAGTCATCCACATACAAAGAGTGTTCTTCCTTTTCCTCAGTTTCTTCCTTTCCATTTTCTTGTTTCTCTTCACCTTTCTCTTGAGGTGCTTTTCTGAGGCTGTGATTCGGTTTCAGATGCACTCTGATTCTTCGGTACTGTGTGTTTGATCGTGTGAATCTTCTATTAAGTATGATCTGGGTTCATTTAAAGGTTTTACAACAGTTGCCAGAGACAATTAGTTGGTTGGTATTGGTATTGGTTTTTTGGCACAAGAGCCATATAGGCTAAGCTGCGCCATAACAAATGGTAAATAATTATAAACATCACAAATAACAAACATATGACAAAAATAAATAAATAAATAACAGCAACACCAACAAAAATCAAATATATACATATTAACAACAAACAAGAACAAACAAAAGGCTAAAAAATAAATAAATAGATATATAAATAAATAAATAATTAAATTTCTTTACACAAATTAGTGACTTTTAAAAAGTTTAATATATCATAAATATTCGGCCTCATACCCAGAATCTGTTTAAAACTTGCATTTCCAAAATGCTGTCTACGCCTGATCTCAAAAACAAAGCAATCGAGCAGTATGTGTTTTACAGTAAGAGGATAGTTGCAATACTGGCATACTGGCTGCTCATCACCCTTCAAAAGGTATTAATGAGTCAACCGAAGTATATCCAATTCTCAAACGAGTAATAATAACTTCAGATCTCAGGTTATTAAATTTCTTGTGTGTCCAATTTTCTATCGTAGGTTTGATCTCATGCAGTTTATTGTGGACTTGTGCGTTCCACACATTTTGCCATCTCTCTGCTAGTCGTTTTTTAATGACTAGCTTGAAATCACCTCCTTCAATACGCATCGTATGCTGTGAAGGACTAGCTGATTTTGCTGCTGCATCTGCTTCTTCATTTCCTCGTATACCAACATGACCTGGGACCCAACAAAATTTTATAGAAAAATTCCTTGCAAGAAGATGGCAAAACAATTTACGAATTTTAATCACTATAGAGTGAGAACTAGGTACACACGAGATCAAAGCCTGAAGTGCACTAACTGAGTCAGTGTAAATGACGCAGCGACGATGACCTTTTCTGATTACATAGTTTAAGGCAAAGTGGATAGCATGCAGCTCTGCAGTAAAAATAGATGAATTCGATGTAATTTGCTCTGACATGATTTCATCCTGGCAGACAAAGGCTGAGCCAACATAATCGTCCGATTTAGAACCATCAGTGTAAATGGGAATTAAATTCCTGTCATTGTGTTAGATTTCTGCAAAGTGCTGTCTATAGACGTAGTCTGGCGTGGATTCCTTAGGAAACTGCTTTAAGCTAAAGTCAACATTTATCGCAGGAGTAGACCAGGCTGGCATACTATCGATCTCGGCCTGTGAAACGTTGCTTATGTTCAGGTCGATCGTGCTGCTGACATTCTCCATTCTTATGAAGAATGTAGGAAAACTACTTGGGCGAGCTTCAAATAACCTTTTCAGCTGAGTATCTGATACTGTACAATCAACTGAAAGTTTAGTATGAGATTTCTGTTTTAAATAATAAAAAAGAGACAACTGTTCTCTTCTGAGAGACAGTGAAAGATCATAAACATCCATATACAAACTTTGGACAGGGGAAGTTCGGAATGCCCCACTGCACAAATGCAAAGCTTGATGATGGATTGGATACAGCAACTGAAGAGTAGATTCTCGCGCAGAGCCATAGACAATGCATCCATAGTCCAGCTTAGAGTGGACAACAGCCCTATAAATCCTGAGCATAGAAACTTTGTCTGCTCCCCAAAATGAGCAGCATAATACCTTTAAAAGGTTTAGAGATTTTAAACATCTACTCTTCAAGTTGTGTAATTGTGGGAAAAATGTCAGTTTTTGATCAAAACAAACACCTAAAAACTTAGCGTCATTCACAATTAGAATTTTAACCCCATTTAAATACATTTCGGGGTCCAGGTGCAAACCACGCCTTCGGCAAAAGTGAATGCACGAGGTCTTCTCTACGTTGAAACTAAAACCATTGGTCTTGCACCATTTTTCTATGCGATTTAGGAAGGTTTGCAGTTGTCTCTCAATAAAACTCATGTTGCTAGACTGGCAGGAGATCTGAAAGTCATCCACATACAAAGAGTGTTTCACACTGGGAGAAAGGCAGTTAGCTATGCTATTAATTTTAATTAGGAACAAAGTCACACTCAAAATACATCCTTGAAAAACACCTTCTTCTTGGTCAAAAGACCTAGATAGAGTGTTGCCCATCCTAACTTGAAATCTTTGATTCTGCAGGAAGTTTTTTATAAAAACTGGCAATTTACCCCGCAATCCGAATTCATGTAGATCACAAAGTATTCTGTAATGCCAGCAGCGATCATAGGCCTTCTCTATATCAAAGAATACAGACACTAATTGTTGTCGTCTAACAAACGCTTTGCGTATGAATGTTTTAAGTTTTACTAGATTATCCGTAATACTTCTGTTCCTACAAAATCCACTCTGATGTGGTGAAAAGTAGTTCTTTTCCTCTAAAAGAAACATCAAACGTCTGATTACCATTCTCTCAAAGAGTTTACACAGGCAACTTATCAGAGAGATTGGTCTGTAATTAGAGAGATTCTTGCGGTCTTTACCGAGTTTTGGAATAGGGATAATAATTGATAGTCTCCAAGAGTCAGGAAAAGTATGTTCTGTCCATATTCTGTTAAACAGATGCAGGAGATTACAAAGGGAAGTGTTTGACAGATTTTTAATCATGCTGTAGTGGATTTTATCCGGGCCTACAGCACTATTCCCCACGTGAGAAATCACTGTTTGTAATTCGATTCTAGTGAATAGCACATTATATTCCTCATCAGATGAAAAATAAAAGTTTCAATGTTGCTTTTCCTTTTGCACTTTGTAAGCTTGAAAATCCCTTGAACACATTATGTTGCTGAATGACAAGGAAAAAGTTTCACCCAATGTATCAGCAATACAATGTATATCACTGATTATTGTGCCATTATTTTCCAGCATGGACAGAAAATGAGAAGCATATTTCCCATTAATTTTGTAAATTTTATCCCAGACTGCTTTTGAGCTAGTGGAAGATGTTATGCTAGAAACATACTTCCTCCAAGAATCCCTTTCGCTTTGCCTTCTTATTTTTCTGGCATTTGCCTTTGCTTTTTGAATAGCTATCAAATATTCAGCACTGGGGCATCTTCTAAAAAATCCCCATGCTTTCTTTTGTGCTTAAATGCTGCCTCACAATTCTGGTTCCACCATGGTTTAGGATGTTTTGGATATCTAGTTAATGTTTTCCCCATTGTTTTTTCCGCTGCCTGAATGATACTAGAAGTGACAACCTCAACTGCATCATTGACTGTTTCCTCAGTAATGTTAGCCAAAGAGGAGAATGCAGACCAATCTGCTGTTTCAAGTTTCCAGCGTGGTGGACGGGCTGTTTCACAGCTTTCTCTGCCTTGGTATTTTAGAAATATTGGGAAGTTGTAATTAGAGAATGGATTAGATCCAACCTCCTATATAAATGCTGAAAACAGGTTTGGACTCGCTAATGAAGGATCAATTGCAGTGAATGTCCTTGTTGGGGCATGGAAGTATATGTCACTTCTCCAGTATTAAATAAATATATTTCCTGGTTGCCGATAAATCTCTCAATGGCTCTGCCTCGACGATTGATGTCGAGACTGCCCCACATAGAATTATGGCCATTGAAGTCACGCAGTAAAAAAAATGAAGTTGGCAGCTGTTCAACTAATGCGTCCAATTCATCATCATTAACTCTGTTTTATATACTTGCCACCAGATGTCAAACTGTGACAGTTACTCCAATAGAAATTCAGACTGCCACAGCTTGTAAATCAGTGGTTATTTGTACCAGCAAAGATGGTATTTGATTGGAAACCTGAATAGCCACACCTCCACTGGCACGGTTGTGGCTATCATCATCCTTGCGATAGGATCGAATCTTTTTAAAGAAATATTTTCTCCAGGGTTTAGATGGGTTTCCTGGAGTGCCATGCAGAGAGAATGGGTAGATGATGTCAAGTGTTTAATGTCAGAGAAGTTGTTGTGGAAAACACAACAGTTCCATTGGGTTATTTTATAACCCATTGTGTTTGAGGCAACATTCTTTGTGAGAGTATCTCTCTTTAATCTAACAGGGGTTTTTCTTTTGGAGGTGATGTGGGTTTTGTCACCTCCTGGTTAGTCTCTTCATCAGAAATATCAGAAAACTCACTCATAGAGTGGGCTTCTGATTTTTTACATTTAGAGAGAGCCACTTTCACTCTCTGCTTGTTTAGTGGGTTCTTACTAGCCTTTTTTGAACCCAGGTTTCTTGTTATTACCCCTGTTTCAGGAAGGGGTGTTTTTGGTTTTATACTCTCCTTTTCTGGTGTTTCTTTTGATGGAATCAGTAAACATTTCGCATGCCGAGTGAGAGATTCTTTTGGGAAAACGGAAATGTCGGTTGTAATATGTGGAGTTCAAAATGTCTTTGAACTCCACATATCTTTGTGGATTTCAAAGCAGTAGCAAATGTCTTTTGTTTTAGTGGTGCACTTGAAGTGACCATACGACGGGCCTCTAAGTAAGGTAAGTTGTTTACTGTTTTTACACGCTGGATTTCTTTTTCTGTCTGCCATGCAGGGCATTTGCAGGAGTAGGCGAGATGTGCGTCTTTGCAATTCACACAGCATGGAGTAGTGGTACACTCAGTACTCTGGTGACCTTAACTCCACACTGTGCACATATGTTCTTCCCTCGACAGGATGTTTGAGAATGTCCAAATCGCTGGCATTTAAAACAACGCAGCGGATTTGGAATGTACGGACAAACTGGACAGCGCAGGTATCCTGCAGTAATGGAAGTTGGTAATATCGGCTTGTTAAATGTGAGGATAAGATGTTTGGTTGGGATCAACTTGCCATCTCGACGAATGGAGATGCATTGAACGGCAGTCACACCTTGGTCTGACAGGCCAATCTGATTATCTGTCTCTTCTTCAGACATTAGATCAACCTCCGATATCACACCACGAGATGAGTTTAAGCTTCCATGTGGGGTGACAATTACTTCTATATCTCCGAATGTCTTAATTGCCAAAAGTTTTGCAGACTGTTCAGGTGAGGCCGTTTCTAGAAGCAGATCTCCTGACCTCAATTTTTGTATTTTTTTCAAATTTCCAACTGTAGATTCAAACAATTTCTGGATCAGAAAAGGAGAACATTTTGACAGAGGTGTTTGTCCAGTAGAATGGACTATGAAGTAGGTTGGCTGACTGGAAATGATTTGTTTTCGTGTATAATTGTCTGTAGTTTTTGTTTTTGGATGATCCATGATTATGTAATATGAATTCAGCTCCCAGTGACCCCACCTACCATGGGGCCCAACAAGGGGATGCCGTCACATGAGAGATTCCCATAGAACGTCACACCAGGGTTTCCCAGAAGCTATACCCTCACAATGCAGTCAAGAAGAGCACATCTAGACTGACGTGTTCGCCCGGTCTGCTTCGATCGGTTGACTCCAAGCCGAGGTCAAGAATGACTCAACGTCCAGCCGATTGACCCAAATGCAGCCTGATTTGAGCCTCCCGTTTATCCGAAGCAGGGGCCAAAGCAGTGTGTTGGGGATGTTATGTTGCCCCTCAACTACCAGGATCCCCCTTTCTGGCATACGAGACACCACGCACAGCAAACGCGTGGGTGGGCGTTCAGATCCCAGGGATGGTAAAGATGAGTTACTAAACCATCTCTGGGAGGTCCCCTCACCACGGACAGGAACCCACATCGAGGGGTTGCCAGAGACCATTCTTTTCCTGTATGCACTAAAACTTGTGTTGACTGTCTCAACAGATTGAGGGGAACACCACCTCTGTCATAATACATTGACATCTTGTTCTGGTTCTGCTCCAGTTGTTGTTGGATATCCTCTCTACGAAATTGGCATTGGTGATAATGGGATGATTTGCATGGAAGTGTTGACCTTATGTTCCTTCCCATGCACAGCTGAGCTGGTGATGGTAACGAGTTCCTAGGAGTGTTTCTCCAGTTTTGCAAAGCCAAATACTGATCTTGACCTTCTGTTGTCTTTTTAAGTATGTTTATTCTTGACTTCTGTTGTCTTTTTAAGTATGTTTATTATTGTTTGCACATGTCATTCTATGTGGCCATTGCTCTGGGGATATCGAGGACTAGATGTACTATGCCTAATGCTCCATTTGTCACAGAAGTGATTAAAAGCTACTGACGAGAATGGGGGACCATTATCAGTCATTAATATTTCTGGACTTCCAAATCGCGAAAAAGTTTCTTTGAACTTGGGAATAACTTTGGAAGCATCAGTCGATGGCATTTTATAAATTTCTGGATAGGCACTGTATCTATCCACAATTAGCAAATATGGACTGCTGGCCAAATAGAAAATATCCGCTGTTGCTTCTTGCCATGGATATGTAGGAATTCTGTGGGGTATCAGAGGTTCTTTTGTCTGAGCTGGTCGAAATCTTTGACATTGTCTACAAGATTTTACTACTTTTTCTATGTCATGATTCATTCCTGGCCAGTATACCTTATTCCTCACTCTGCTGAGTGAAGCGTTGATTCCTAGATGTGCAGCATGAATTTGCTGTAGAACTCTGGTTCTTTGTTTCTCTGGAATTATTATGGCAGGTCCTTTACATATAATATTCTTCCATAGGTATAGGTCTTCTTTAAAATCGTAGTAGGGTTTGATGTTTGATGGGATAGACTTTTTATGTACCGGCCATCCTTCTGATAAGTATTTCTTTACAGTCTGCAGACTTTGATCTTGTCTTGTGTTTTCAGCTAATTCTATGAATTTGGTGTCTGTGATTTTCATACCAACTGTTCTTATTCAATACTTGTTCATCTAGGTCTGGTGTTGAGAAATTGGGTGTAAGATGCCTTATGTCCCTTGAAAGAATATCTGCAATGAGATTATCTCTTCCCGGCTTGTAGTATAACTTGAAGTCGTAAGCCAATAACTTTAGCATTAATCTCTGCAGTCAAGGAGACAATGTACTTAATGGTTTTTTAATTAGTGTGATTAATGGTTGGTGATCAGTATATGCTACAAACAATCTTGCAAGTAGCAGGTGATCAAATTTTTTACATCCATAATATAAGGCGAGTAGTTTCTTTTCGATTTGGGAATAGTTTTATTGTGTATCATTCAAAGATGATGATGAAAAAGCTAAGGGTTTTCCTTCCTGTGTAATTGCTGCTCCTAGAGCATGTTGACTGGCATCTGTATGTAGGGTTATAATTTTGTTTGTATCAAATTGTGCTAACGTTTGAGTCTGCGTTAGAATTTTCTTTATGTAATTAAAATCCCTTCTTGCCTCTTCTGTCCATGTCCATTCAATATTTTTCCTGAGCAGCTGCCTAAGATTGTGTGTGAGATTTGATAAATTAGGTATAAATTTGCCTAAATAGTTAACTAATCCCAAGAATCTTTGCAGTGCTTTTTGATTTTCTGGTTCTTTTAATTGTTGAATGGCAATAAGTTTTGATTCTTCTGGTTTTATACCGTCTGGTCCTATTATGTGCCTTACAAAGGTGACTTGCCTTTGTGCCAATTGGATCTTGCTTTTTTCAAATTTAAGACCATGAGTTTCTGCTCTTTTTAATACTTTTATCAGTTTTTAATTATGCTCTCTTAATGTGTCACCATAGATTAGAACATCATCCATATATGTGTAAATGCCTTCAATATCTGAAAGTATTGTGTCAATGCTCTTTGAGAATGCTCTGATGCTGTTGTGATTCCAAACGGCAATCTTGTAAATTTATATTTTCCGAAAGGTGTATTCATTATCAACAGTTTTTGTGATTGTTCTTCTACCGGTAGCTGAAAGAAGGCTGATTTAGCATCCATAACTGTATAATATCTAGCTTTTGGAATGCTTGATAACAGTTCTGTTGCCGATGGTATCTGATAATTATCTCTAATAATGTATTTATTTAGTTCACGTGGATCCATAAACAGGCGTAATTTTCCTTGTTTCTTTTTAACAATAACCATTGGGTGGAGCCAACTAGAATTTTTTTCTGTCTTTTTTAAGATTCCTTTTCTAACCAGATCCTCTAATTCTTGTTTAACTTCTGTTTTTAAAGCTTCTGGGATCCTTCTAGGAGGGACAAGTTTTGGAATTGCATTTTGATTTAATTTGATTATAACCTCATGTTTAAGTTTGCCACTTCCCTCAAACACACTGGAATAGGATTCCAAAATATTTTCTGGGTTAAGTTCCAGTGTAATAGAATTTATCCTTTTAATTAGGTTTAGCTTTTTGCATGCATCTCAAGTCAATAGAGGTAACCCACGTGTCCTGACAACAAGGAATTTGCTCGTGGTTTCATGGCTTCCAGACTTGAGTTGGAGGTGACATTCACCGACGATCAGTATTCTCTCACTTGTGAAGGTATAGGCTTTGACCTTAGTCTGTTTTATCTTTGGAGAATTGGTCCACTGCTTCAAATACGTCCAAGAAATAACATTAGTGTCCGCTCCAGTATCTAATTTTATTTTAGTAGGATTCCCATTTATTTCAATTACTTCTTCCCAGTGTTCATGTGTGACTTCATTCAGCACAANATATTTACATAAATTACATTAATTTATTTATAAAAATATTTACAATGTTGATAGAAAAACAAAGCATATTTTGCATCATCATTGCAAGCTCAACTTAAAATTTATTTAGTTAAAAAATTAAATGATTAGATAAAATATTTTATTTAATTTTAATCATCCCAAATATGCTAATATCAAGAAATTACTGAAGATTTTATTATTGAAAATGTTTGATTAATATTTAAATTTGTTTTATACTCACTAACATACCTAGTGATGCTCAGGTTGACTTAATCCTTAACCCATGAGATGGGGACACTGTGACCCCAGTAAAACTTTGACTGGCTTCTACTAATCTGTCCGCCAGTGCCAGTGGTGGAGACTCAAGGTACCTTCAAGTTAGTTGTACTTGAGTCATCAGAACGTATGTGTTCCACTGTCGTTCCATATTTTTTTTACAACAAGTTTAAATTTTTTGTTTTGGGGTCATCCTGACTCCACCTCATGGGTTATGTAAATATTTTCTTTAGTCTAATAGTTTTGTGAAGGTGGCATATATGACATCAAAACAGCAGTCAATGATCATGGTTTTTATAAATATCTTTAACCAAGATATATCTTGGATAAAGAAAGCATTTTCAGTGGTAAAGATGATGATGAAAATCCTTAAGATTTCATTAGTGACCATGAATCCACATCAGAATTTGAGGCACCGTGGCATCAATCCACAAAAAGCAAAAGATTATTTTTGTGGCAAAAATAATTTTAAGTGGTTCAAAAATGCACCTTCTAGAACCATTAGAACTCGAAAGCACAATATCATTATGCATCTTCCGGGAATAACTGGACCAGCCAAGCTTCTTGGATCTCACCATTCTTCTGGCCCTTGCATATGAAAGAAAACAACATGAAATAGATTGTTTCTTCTTTTATTAACTTATGAATAATGTTCAGTTCCCAAAAATATTGGAATGGAGGCCATCTACACTCGCATACATTAAACATGGCCGTCTGTCTTGCACGTGCCGCGCTCTCTCTGGTGTTGCCAGATCTTACCGTAACAGATAGCATATCATCAATCATATATCATCATTGAAAAATGGGGAAACAACAGTCATCCCCCTCATCTTTTCTTTCACACATTGTGAAATTTATAACAATTAATTGAAATTTTTTTGTTCTAATTTGTTTCTCTAAATTACAGTAGAGCATCGATTATCTGACTCAATTGGGGACTCAGGTTGGTCGGATAACTGAAAAAATCAGATAACTGAAAAGAAGGAAAAAAATACATTATTAGTATAGTATATTAGTATATCCCATGTAATTAGTATATTAGTATATCGCTATTAACCAACTTCGTGTTGAATTTTCATNTTAAGCCTCGTTTCCTTTACTGGCTTAATTATCCGCTGTCACCATGTTTTATATGGTTTGCTTTGTGTTTACACGCTGTTCGTGACGCACTTAAGACCCCCCGTAAGACAGGAATACAAACACTTACTCTGAATACTTTATTCAGGGTTATACTTGGACCAGACGATCTCCAGTCGCATACATTAACCAGGGCCGTCTGTCTTGCACATGCCGCTCTCCCTCTGGTGTTGCCAGATCTTTCCGTAACAGTTATAAATTATAAGATGTGGGACAGTTTCAATTGAACATGTAAACAGTATTTTTTTGATCAGAGAGAAACTTAAATATATCTGAAAAAAAGTTATAAGTGTACGGTTAGCATTAAAAAAGAAAAACCAATAAGAGTATGTTGCTTTTCTATCAAAAGAAATTGTTTTGCTAAAATAAATTTTTTTCTTTATTTTCTAATTTATATAATTTCAAAAAATACCTTTAGTNAAAATTTTTTTTAAAATAATAATCATCGCTATTGTATCGTTAAAAATTATTTTTAAATTATTTTATTGCTCACAAAACAAACAACCACTCATAATTAGAAAATTAAGTCTCGTTTAAATACTGGCCTCCCTTCAATGGTCGAGTCAGTGTTGCCAGCTAAAACACGCAAAAATTTAACAAAAATATTATTAAAGTAGCCAAGACATACCCAAATATTGTAGTGCCACATCACTAGCGGACATTTGAAATTTGCCGACTAGAACGGTCGGATAACCGATGCGATGGTTAATTGGGGGTTGGATAATTGATGCTCTACTGTATTTTAAATTGATATTACTAAAAATTTGGAATGGGGGTCCCTAAAATCAGAAAAATAGGTGAAACGTTGCAACCAACGTTCCTTTACAACGTTGGTTGATATACAAACAATCTCGATGTCACGTTTACATACATCTCTGAGATGCGGGTCAAAAGGGTGTCCTGTTTGATAGTTAACAATTTCTCTTTGCAAGCGCAAGCAATTTTTCAAATTGCAATCTGCAAGCATAGTGAGTGACTCAAAGCACCCAACCTTGCCTTGGATTGGTTGACATAAAATGTGCACTAATTGCATGATAATATTCAAATTTATGTATATTCAGATTAAAAAACTAATAATAATAATAAAGAAAATGAAACCATTTTGATTTTGCAAAATCAGTCAACAGCACAGGGCCTTCAGAAACATGGGGCCTTGTGCACTCACATCGTTCACACTCCCTCGGGCCAGCCCTGCTCATAGCCACAATTGATGCAGTTTAATAAACTTTTACTGGAATTCTGACAACCTAACAAGATGGCAAAAACAAACAGTGCTTGGGTTAATACAGATGAGTAGTAAGAATGGTATTAACAACATAATCATGGAAATGGCCATATTGCTTCATCAGAGCTCACTGGATCCACAGCCTGATGAGTGAGATATGCATCAGTCACTGTACATTCTGTACAAGTAGTACTTTTACTCTAGTATTGTAGTAACATGCATCTTGGCATTCCTCATCCTTCAGAAATGGTGACTACACGTCATATTAATTGCACAGACATATTTGTATACCTTTATTCAACAGTTAACACAATGAAGACAAAGGTATATGAATATGTCTGCACAATTAATATGATATGTAGTCACCACTTGAGATTCTTAAGGCAAGCTCCTTTAATTTCTGAGGGAGAAGGAGTGCCAAGATACATGTTACTACAACAAAAGAAACTATACTACTACTACAATTCTGTCTAACCCAAATCACTAATTCCAAATCCCCTGACTTCTAGAGCTTTTTCTCCTCAAGCTAAAAAATTCTTTGAATCAGACATATCTTTCATTCTCCATTTGAAACTTAGCACAACATAAAAATGATTATTTTTCTTTTTATGCAGGAACATGTGATCAAAATGTTTCTGACAATCTGATTTTGACAATGACTACATTATCAGAATCAAAAACATTATAAAATAACTCAACCTAAAAAATAAATTAAAAATATAATATATGAATATTAAAATAATTTATTTTATTTTTTATTACCAGTATAGTTTTAAAATATCTAGCAACATTTACTTACTATATGAAGCTGATTTCTTGGAACTTTCAATAAACATGAAATATCATCGATAATTGTATTTAATGTATTTTGTGAACCAAATAAATTGATATTTTGGTAATAAATCTCTCTATTCCAACAAAATAACAATTGTATTAAATATAGAATTATACATTTAGAGATAAAACAAATATTTACATAAATTACATTAATTTATTTATAAAAATATTTACAATGTTGATAGAAAAACAAAGCATATTTTGCATCATCATTGCAAGCTCAACTTAAAATTTATTTAGTTAAAAAATTAAATGATTAGATAAAATATTTTATTTAATTTTAATCATCCCAAATATGCTAATATCAAGAAATTACTGAAGATTTTATTATTGAAAATGTTTGATTAATATTTAAATTTGTTTTATACTCACTAACATACCTAGTGATGCTCAGGTTGACTTAATCCTTAACCCATGAGATGGGGACACTGTGACCCCAGTAAAACTTTGACTGGCTTCTACTAATCTGTCCGCCAGTGCCAGTGGTGGAGACTCAAGGTACCTTCAAGTTAGTTGTACTTGAGTCATCAGAACGTATGTGTTCCACTGTCGTTCCATATTTTTTTTACAACAAGTTTAAATTTTTTGTTTTGGGGTCATCCTGACTCCACCTCATGGGTTATGTAAATATTTTCTTTAGTCTAATAGTTTTGTGAAGGTGGCATATATGACATCAAAACAGCAGTCAATGATCATGGTTTTTATAAATATCTTTAACCAAGATATATCTTGGATAAAGAAAGCATTTTCAGTGGTAAAGATGATGATGAAAATCCTTAAGATTTCATTAGTGACCATGAATCCACATCAGAATTTGAGGCACCGTGGCATCAATCCACAAAAAGCAAAAGATTATTTTTGTGGCAAAAATAATTTTAAGTGGTTCAAAAATGCACCTTCTAGAACCATTAGAACTCGAAAGCACAATATCATTATGCATCTTCCGGGAATAACTGGACCAGCCAAGCTTCTTGGATCTCACCATTCTTCTGGCCCTTGCATATGAAAGAAAACAACATGAAATAGATTGTTTCTTCTTTTATTAACTTATGAATAATGTTCAGTTCCCAAAAATATTGGAATGGAGGCCATACAGTGCCTTTAGTGTGTAGAAGTATATTTAATTATGTGCCTTACTTTTTGAAGTGTTATTAGTACTCTAAAAGTTAAAGATTTTTTTTAATCCTAATATATTTTTTAAAATTTACTTTATATTTCTAGTGCATTAAATAAAGTGTAAAAAGTATTTTATGATTATATTTTTCTTTTTCTTCCTTTTCTGAATTATACAAATTGTAACAAAAGTTGTGTGCTTATCCATGAGGTAAAAAAAATTTGCAACCTATGAGGTGGGTTGCATAATTTTTTTTACCACATGGGTTAAGGGTTAAGAAAACATCGAATAGGTTTGAAAACTACATGTGATTTTGTTAAACATTGGTATGATGCATGTAACAGTCGATGACTATATACAAATAATTGCTTTTATTGCAATGTTAGGAATTTCATCATTTTAGTTTTGATCATCTCTTAATAAAATAAAATTTGTTTTATTTCCATATTTTTGAATAGACTTGTTCCATCACATTTTACAAAATTATTTATGAAGGTTAAAATATTTCTCTCAAACAATGAAGACAGTATTTCTTAGTAGAGCAATCAGCAAAAAACAATTTAAAATGCTATATTTCGAGAAAATAATTATATTTTTTTTTAAATATTAAAAGTTGATGGAAAATAATAAGATTTTTTTGCCATCTCCTGAACCTTCTATGTCAAATCAGTGTACCAGAAGAAGAATGTGAAATTTCTTCTTTTGGTACAAGCAACTTTCAAATTTGAAAGTAAACTACTCCACTCACTAAAGATGGGACTGTTTGGGAAATTGTAAAACCTGAAAATTCAAGTCAAAGAGCACCTATTCAATTGTAAATCTGAAATTGAGTCCAGCTATGCAAATAGGAGCACAGCAGCCAGAAAACTAGTAAAAATCTTCAAACTGATTTTCAGTGAAGGAATGGTAAAGCATTCCTTTGCCATATACAAACCTGCACGGTGAACTTTGTTAGAAGCCAATTCAATGAAAAAACTGGAATGTTTCTTTACCAAAGCTACAATATTTTCTGTCTATAGTCTTAGCTACAGGTGTTTATGGAAGTATCAAATTTGACTATGACAGTCTTTAGTCAATTAAGTAGAGACATCCATTCTTTCAAGAAACTATGAGTAGAAACCAGTTATGGATTAATGAAATATGTTTGTTTTGATATCTGACAAACGTTATTTTGTCATCTGCAAATAGACAAGTTTGCCATAGCCTTTGAAATTTGGGATACAATCATAAAAAATTCTCAGAACTGCTATGTCCCCAGTCCATATATCATAACAGATAAGCATCTTCTTCCTTCAAAAACAAAATGTCACTCCACCCACTTTATGGCTAATAAGCCTGATAAGTTTTTCTAACATTTTGGATGGCTATTGACATAGATTCAAATAGGTTTGTAATGGTTTTCCTTATATCAGGAAAAAGTAAGACAGGCCTTCTGATAAGTCATATCAGTCACTGACTTGTTGGGACCCCAGCAGTTGTGAGTTATAATTTATTGGACTTTCTCTGTGCTGTTTTGTCTTGCCTCTGGATCAAAGTTCAACATAAACCCTTCACCTGTCCACCTGGAGATCCAGTAATCTGAGGCATCTCAAATCGTCTCAACAAGGGATATAGTTTCCATCTTTCCCCTTTTCATCGCCACATCATGGTCTGGTAACATCATCAAATTCTTGAAGGAGGGACTATTCACTTCTTACAAGGACTAAAATCCTTTTGGTATGTCCTACATGGCAGCATCCAGCAACTGCAAGTCTGAATGTGCTACCAAGCAGAGTAGACAAACTGGTACAAGCAAATCTGCATATCCAGAGTAACCGCATTTAGTGTGCAGCGACCACCAGATGATGCTTCTACATGCACATGAAAAAAGTAGTTACCAGCAAGTTTGATTGTGACTTCCACTTCTTGCACTTTCAAAGAAGAAAATGGCTAATTTTGTAGATGAATGAAAACAGAATACCAATTGTGTATATAGTGTGTATATAGAAATTATGTATATATGTTGTATATACTTTAATTAATAATTTTTAAGTAATTTAATAATTTCTGCTTTTGTAAATGTAAGATTTTGAAAATAAAACTTTTTTTAACTTATTCTAAAAAGATTCTTTTTATTTGTTGTGTATCTGGTTAGTGATAACATTTACCTTTCAGATTTACCTTTTTAATGCTTGTCATATTTTCCATAACAAGCATTTGACGAAGCCATCTCTCTGTTATTCTGTAGACAATATGCATCCACTCTGGACAGAGGTTGCTCATGAGTTGGAAGCACTTACAAAGATTCTTTCCCCCACAATTACTGAACACTACCATGCAGGATGTATCCTTAGATATGTATGACATACCCTTAGATTGAATTTTGTGTACCTTGGACAACATTGCAGAAGATTTTATAAAAACTTGATCTCTATCTCTCTCCAGTTTCCTACTGTAATGGAGTTCATGCCTCAGTATCTATACCCCCATAGTGTCATCCTAAATGGTCTGTACTCTTTCACTAAAAGAGTGTTGCCCACTTCTTGGTAGATTGATATTGGGACCATAAACCATATCGCAGGGATCCTTACACATAGCAGTGAAAGTGGAAGTATGCAAAATGTTGTCTATTTGCTGAACAGGTCTGTGGTCAAATGTGTGGTGTAGTACTGTGAGAATAACTCATTATTCCTAATGGGAACAAGAGACATGATATTCACATACAGAAAAGCAAATGAGAATGGCTGGAACATCACATAGTTGTACCATGGTTATACTATGAGGTGATGTATGAGCATTGCATTGAGATCCACAAAGGATTCTTTGAGCATCTACTGTGATTCTGGCTAAGATACATATGGTATCATTTATCTCAGCAGTAGTGCATTTCTAGCCACATGATAATAAGATCACTTTTGTTCTTTGTCCTGCCAGGAATCCACTTCTGAAGTTTGTTCCCATAATTTGGAACCATATTGTATTAATATACAATATGGTTAATCAGTCATAGAAACTGAGTGTAACTATCAATATACTAAATTATGATTTATTGATTCCTATCAAGATTTTAAGACTTCATTAAAAATGATAAAATATGACTTTAAATAAATCTATTATTATTCAAAATTATTTATAAAATTTATAATATTTATTTATTTTTAACTTTATAAATTTTAATGATAGAATTATTGTTCCTACTTACCTTTTTGTAGAATATGTATTTGTTTGGATCAAATGATATATCTTTGCTAAAATATGAAGAATTAATGCTGCAAAAATATAACTTGGTAAGTAATTGAGATATATTGAATATTTGATAACTAATTTAATCTTTTTAAAATATTTTAACATATAAAATAATAAAATTGAATAAAAACTTATCTTTTCAAGAAAAATCAAATTTTCATTAAATTTTTATCAGTAATCAAATATCATATTTATATTCAGATTTATTTTTCTCCAAATTAAATGTTTTTGGAGAGAAAAGAAAATAAATATCATTCTACAAATACCCAATATCAGAATTTTAAATTTCTTTGGGATTTTTTGAAAAAGCATATTATATTTCAAACAATCATCCATCATACCAACACTACTGGTGTAAGAATTAACAAAATAACTATGAAATTACCAACAAACCAGCAATAATTCACTTCAAAAACGAACGTTTTCTACAGTCTTCAACAGTCATCATCAGGTTCAATTCCAAGAATTCAAAAAATTTTTCGAACTCTTGGAATTGAGCCTGATGACCATTGAAGACGGTAGAAAACGTTCATTTTTGAAGTGAATTATTGCTGGTTTGTTGGTAATTTCGTATATTTCAAATTTAAAGAACTATGAGAAATGCCACACTATTAATTATCTTATACCTAAACTTAAACTATTATTTACTATTAAAGAGATCAAACTGAATAAAAAATATTTTCTATTAAAATAAATAAATATCTTTTTGTATTTTAATATCATATCATCATATTACTTAAGTTAGAGAATAATGACAATTGTTTTGTTTTCTAACTTATATTCCAGAAAACCAATACTGTGGGAAGTAATCAATCTTTAGAGTATTTCCCATGCAGAAACAAAACAAAAAGAAACTTCAAAGAAATAAATCACACACTCTATGACTCCAATGCAAGGAACTTAAAGTTTACTTTAGTCCTTCCAATCACTTCTGTCCTATAAAAGACTAAAACAAAGGACACAACACACAAATAAGAAGAAACTTGTGACTCTCTTGTCTACACCTCTTCTCTCTTTTTTTTCTTTTTTCCCCTAAAGTCATGCTTCTTCCATTGAGCAATCGCAATCTCCCTCTCTCCCTCCTTGATCTGGTTTTTTTTTCGGTTGTAGTTGAGAATGCCCATCCTTTCTTTATCCTGTGGCCCACCCAAGGAGCTGGTTACGAGCCAGTTACGCAACAGAACACGTGGTCTTCAGACCACAATACTTTTATTTTTAAACTTAAGTTACAATATCTTTTCTTTGACTTCTTCACAATAATAAAATAAATAAATTTATTCAAGCTGATTAAAATATGAAATTACCCAGTAATTTTTTATTGTATACTTTCTAAAGATACACAAATTTATTTGAATTAAAAAACAAGATGACAACATTATAGTTATTCACAACATTATAGAAGATTGGAAGAATGTAGAAAAAAAATATATATTAGAAATGGCTTAAGTAGTGTTACCACCCATCCAGTTTTCACCTAGACAGTTCAGGTGAACTATCAATTTTGTATGGGAATTTCGTAGAAATTATGAAATTACAATGAAATAAAGTTCTTGCAAATATTTTTACAAATTTATACTATTTTAACAGCGAAAGAACTCACACTCACTGAAACTCATCTGCAATTCTGCCATGTTTGTCTGTTTACATGTGGCGCGCAATCTGTAGACCTTTTTTTTTATTTTGCATATACAATCGTATGTACATGTCTATGGGCTAAGTTATCTAGCACATTATTCTTTGCATTGTAAAAGGACATTGTGCATGTGTCAGGAACTTCTGTTCGAACAAACCTGACCCGCTGTCCGGGTCAGCGATTTTGAAAAGGTGGCAACACTCAGTGGTGATATTCGAAATATTTAACAAAGGGTTCGCTAACAGAAAATTTTTCCTTAACAATTTTTTTTTTGCTCAAATGGTGCATTAGCAACATTAGCACAAAAACTGACCTTAAGATACCCATATAAATAAAACAGGGTTAATGTTACCTTAGGTTCCAAGATAGCCGCGCTTTCGACTGTTCGTGGTTCAGACGGACTCCTCCCGGAGGGGAGCTGCCAAGTGCCAAACGTCACTAATTATTGATTCACAGTAGTTCTTGAACAAAATAAAAAAAAAAAGGAAACGTCTACTAAAAATATAGCTAATCTAACGGAAACGAAACGAACCTAACCGTAGCGCCGCCATCTTGGAACCTAAGGTAACATTAACCTAAAAAAAAAAGACATATATTACACACGATGATAAAACTGACATAACTACGCGGTAAGTCACAAACACCAACAAACAAAATGGAAGTTTTGGTTAGAAATAAATACAATAGTTTTTCTTGCGATATACGTAATAATAGAAGATGTCATCGTCTCTCGAAATACAGTATCTTTTTTATTTCGCTGTCGATAGCCCAACACGTGTTCCGCAGCCATCTTGTTTTTCTCGCACTCGTGGGATTGTGTGATCTCTCTTATGACTGGATCTAGTTTCAGGAACTCTCTTGAGCCGATCGCGATTGAACCTCGTTTCAGTCGAGATTGAAACGGTCGAGGGAGGTCTCACCAAGGTGAAAGGGGTAAAAGGCTCTAGTTTAGTAGTGTTACAGAGTATAATACGTATATTTTAATATATTTTTTAAAAGAAACAAAACCACTGAGAAACGTTACGTGTGTTTAACAAGGTTCGGAAAACTTTTAAAATGTTAACAACGGGTTCGGCCGAACCTGTGCGAACCCGCTGAATATCACCACTGGCAACACTAGGCTTAAGTAAAAGAGATTCTTAGATACAACTAATAGCAATAGAACAATGAAATAGATAGATAAGGTTATGTACTGTGAACAAACAACACAAAAAGAATTTAAAGAATTTTTAAGTAAAATTTGAAAATTTGAAGATGTATTCAAATCGTTATACCTCAAAAAAGAATTTGAATATATAGAAATTTTATAGTGGACAGTGGATCCAATTTAAATAACATTTCTTATGCTGGCTTAAAAAATATTATATAAGCTACACAAGCCCATCCCACAATTTTTAAAAGGATTGAATTTAAAAGAAAAAAATATTTTTTCATAACAGTTTACTAACTTTTACAATATAGGTATATAGAATAACACAATACAATAAACTAAGGAGGAATTGAATGGGTACAAAATTATTTTTAAGTTATATACAATATACTGTTTAATTTTATTTAATTTTTTAATTCTTTCCAAATGGGAGGGATTAAACTCCTCAAAGCCCCTACATGCATGAACTTGAAGCCACATGTTATGTACTATTTCTTACTTCTTAAGTTTACTCCAGCTTAACTATAGATATAACAAGGGGCCCACCTGAAGGACTGGTAGACATTTCTGATAAGCCCTCAAAACAAATGCTTGTAACTCTTGACTGGGACATACTAGTGAGTCCCTGGTTGGTCACAATTGTTTCTTACATCCTTCTAATAAAGTAAAATTGAAAAAATAAGAGGAAGCATGCTATGTACATTTTCAAAATGGCAGATTGTTAAAAGTCCATATCTGTTGTTGTCACCTTTTTTTTTTTGATAGAAATACAAAACACCATTGGTCAAAAGTGACTTTTGATAAACAGTGCAAGTCTAATAGGAGTTTGTGAACTACAAAATATTGAAGTTCAAGTACTGACTTTCAAATAGTATCTGAAAATGCTCTTTTCAAATAATATGCTTTTTGATTATTCAGGATGATGTAAAATAATAATTAACATGTTCAGTGTGCTATGTTAATAAAGCACCTTGTTTAATCATAATTTTTTATCAAGCAGCATTCAAAATGAGCAGAACTAGCCTGTATTACTACTTCCAGACCATGGGGCCTATTAGCAGAACCTTTGTTCATCCACATTATCATTAAGAAACAGAACAACTGATTTAATACTGGGATAGATTAAGTTTGAGAAAATAAATAAACTTTCATCAAATATTCAAAACATAGGTTCATAGGAGAACTAACATAAAATAAATGAATAAAATCAACATATAATATGCCTTAGTTAGAATAAGCTTGATTTGTTTTCCAGCAAAAGGCATAAAAACAGTTTACAATGTCACAAGTTTACTCTTCAAGTAAATCATCTTTGTCATGAACATTTTTGAGTTGTTTAGATCAATACTACTCAAACTATGGTCAGCAGATTAATGCCAGTCATCAAACAGATTATTGCTTTGTTATGATGAGATTCCACGTAAAATTTCAAAATATATATTATGTTAATAAAACTATTTAAAAATGCTTTTAAAAGTCTTTCAAAAACACGTTGTTTTGTTACTTTAATTTTTCTTTATGATTTAAACACTTAGTGCTAGGGCTGACTGGTGATCAAAATCAGCATGGAAAATTACTTGAAAACAGCACATAAAACAACAACATTTTTTCTAAATGATTATAACCAAGTTTTGTTATTGTATTTTTCTTACTAATTCAGCCTAAATATTAAAATAAAAAACTCATTTGAATTCCATTCTTTCCATTTTACAATTATATTTAGTTAATTTTACAAAAATACTTGTCCACAAGGGAATGGAATGAAAATATACTGATCCATGAGCACAAAGTTTGAGAAGTTGTTACTTTAGATTGTCTAGGATATATGTTACTTAGAAGTATTGAATTTTTAAGGTCAAAAACAAACAGCAACTATCACAAAGTAGCATCAATATACAAAGCCTAACAAAGAAATTAGAATCTTGATGTCAAAATACTCAATAAATAAACTTTTATCATTAAGTTTTAAAATCTCTAAGTATTCAGTTTTCCAACTGCACAGATCCATGCTTTTTTTTTTATATGTAATTTAATTTTCAATTAAGAATTTCATTATTATATATAAGTATTTTCTTTTATTTTTATATAATTTATTTAAATAATAGTTCTATTAATATAATTATTTAAATAATAATTTTCTTTAAATATTTTATACATTATTTTAATTTGTACTTACCAAATCGTTTCATTGATTTCTTGGAAGAAAACTTAACAACAGATTTAACAGTTTCTCTTTGTGCTTTCAATCCAGAAACTGGCTGATAACTAAGTATATTAAAATTTTCAGTTTAAAAATAATAAATTCTATTTATATTAGTTAACTGAAACAATATTAGCTTCTCAAATCCCTATATGTAAATATTTTAAAATGTAACCAGAAATGAAAAAACACAGAAGAAAGTAGCATCTGTATTTTAGAAAAACATAGGATCCATAGAACATAAAATATCTTAACTATGTGAGTTTTTGTTTTATTTTGGAATACAGTCGACCCCCCTATAAGATATAGATACGTTCCAATTTATTAGGAATCCGATTTCTTACAAGTCGTTCAATCTCAGCCCGACACGTGTCAAGTTTACGGACTACGGCTGATTGAAAGGTTTTCTTCCATAAAATTAATCGATTCTAAACTAATCCGACTCAACATTTCCAAAATACGTATATTTTTTTGTAGTTTTATAGGAAT